ATCTACAACGGTCTTATTACACTTCGACTCTGTGGATTTCCCTTCACGGAAATCGGGGTTGTTTCACTCCCCGAGCCCACTCGGGCGCAGCACCCGTCGTGTCGTGCCCGCTCGGTACCCCGGTGTCCACGCCGCTCCATCTCCGTGCTCGGCCATCGTCGTAGTCGCCCGAGCCACCACGTCGCCATGCCGCGCCGCCACCGCCCAGCTCACGCCTTCCTCCTCCCGTATGCGCGCCGCCGCTGCAGGAGCACCCTTGGCATCGCCCACCTGGCAGGTGCTGCCGTGACCGGCGTGCCCGCCTCCATGGCTCGTGCAGGCAGGCTTCCGTGGGCTGGCTCGGCTCTTGCCGCGGCCAGCCTGAGGCCCCGTGCAGCCATAGTTATTAGGATCGGATCGGACATCGAACCGGCGAGGGCATATGGTTCACTGGTCCAACCGTTAAGAACCGGTTGAACCGCCGGTTCGATTATTTTGGACCGGATGGATTGAACCGCTCACAAATACTTTAAACCGGCATAATATAATGATATATAATAAATAATTTTTAGGAAAATATATAATAAATAATTAGCAACATATATTTGATCACATATACAAATAAGATGATAAAACACAATTATATAACTTGCTTCCCACTAATCTACACACGCACTCCAAGACATCGGTGCTCTAGAGTTGTTTTACCAGATATTTAAAACATATGTATAAATAATATATGGAGCACTTACAAATTGGTGCAAAAATGACTAGAATAGTAATTCAAATATTTACTATTGGAAACAATCTTGAATGCTAAAATAGAGTACACCATTGCGCAGAGCTCGTTGAGATAATCAAAATACATATATTATTTGTTCAATTTGAAGCTCATTTAAAAAAGTTATGAAATTTCGAAATTTAAAAGGCACGTCATCTCACGCCAGCACTATCAAAAAGTCAAAGGAGCCAGGAGCAGCCGACAACACCTCCACGCATGCCATTCAAATTCCAAAGTGAGCAGCAGCAGTGCAGGCCCACCGGTGGCAGGTGCAGACGCTCCACCAGCTTGGATAGGACCACGTGTCCATGGCTCCACGCTGCACAACCAAACTGTTTGCGCGGCATCAGACCGGGGCGGTTCACATGGAACCGGCCGGTTCACCGGTTCCGTAAAAAACCAGCTGGTTCAACCGGTTTTTAACGGTTCGATTGCACAGACGGTCTTTTAAGTGAACCGGACCGGTCTAGGCTCTGGTTCGGTCTTTTAGCGGTCGAACCGCCGGTCTAGTCCGGTCCTAATAACTGGCGTGCAGCTCGCCGGTGGGTTGTCCGCCACCACCGTGCCTTCCCCGGCCCCACAGCGCCGTTGCTGCCGCCGTCGGCCGGTGCTTCCGATCTATGCTCTGCTTTTGGAGAGAGAGAGCAGGTGAGAATATCAAAATAGATGATGCTATGGGGTTCTTATTGCAAACTACGTGACTCAAGTGAATAGTGCGTATATCCTATGGATTGATTTAAGAAAAGTGTAGGGACCTCATCGCAAAAGTACCGCCCGTCGCCCTGCCCTGGCCGTGTGGGCTGGCTTGCTGGGCCATCCACGTCCTCGCGCTTGGGCCGGCCTTGGGCCGCTGTGGCAAGCGTGCCGATGGGCCGCTAGTCTGGCTAGCTGGGCCACTGGCCGCGCGCCGCCTGGGCCGCTGGCCGTATGCCCGCCTGGGCCTCTGGCTGGCCTACTTTCGTGTGCTGGGCTCCCCCGCCTGGGCCGTGTTGTTAGGCCAGCTTGCTGGTCGTGGGCCGATCTGATAGCCGCTGGCCTTTGAGCTTTCTAAAGCGATTGCTAATTTAGTTTAGAAAATAAAATTGTAAAATCAATATAAAATTGTGTAGGTGTCTAAAAATGATAAAACCAATTTTGTTAGTCTACTAAAATCATGATCTATTTGTTAGTATATTTTATTCATATAGTTTGATAATATTCTTGAAAGTTATATAATTAATTTAAGGTACTTAATATTGTAAAAATATAAACTTATAAGAATTATTGTGATAAATTGGTAATAGCGTTGGATCTGAAATTTTTACAGTAGGCACCTAGCAATATTAGGAACTCACTGTAATTTTTGTAGCTCCAGAATAATTAGTTTGCTAGATAGATAATGATGTTCTATTTCGAATAATGATTAAATCGATAGAATGAAATAAAGAAACAACTTGGGTTTATATAACTAAAAAATTGTTGGGAAATAACGTCTTATTCGACAACTTAGATATGTAGCCTATTTACGGTCGTCGTTAGAATTAGTTCGTTAACTTGAGAGGCATAAATAGTATTTTACGAATCACCGTTGCGGTCGATTAATTGTGTCTTTGCATTGCATCGCATTGCATATCATAATAGGGACGTCGATGGATCGCGGAGTCATCGGGCGTTGCTGAAGAAAGGGTACTTTTGATGATCAGGTCATCAAGATGGAATACTAACTTTTGGTTATATCTTACTCAGGCAAGCCCCGGTGCATAACCCCTACTTTTCTGCACTTTAAATTATATCTGTGCATTAAGTTTTAAGGAGTTGGATGAAACCCACTTACACATATATATCTTTATCCCATGAGTCTTACTAGTATGACAGAATCGTGTAGATTGCTATGCTATAGGACTCCGGTATAAGCCAAGTGATTGCCTGTCACTCACGAGAGATAGGAAATATATTACTGTATTATTATCACTTGAAAAATATAAATGGTGGAAAGGAAAAATAGTGACCGAATAGAGATATAGTTTGGGTATTGGTGGGTGTAAGAGGTTGTGTCGCCGGGCCATGGGGCATAGCTTGGTTACACTGCTTTCCCTGTCTGTGTCGGTTAAGGACCGGCCGTTGCATAAGACTCTAGGCAAGTCACAGACTTATTATCCCGAGCATACACTTAGGTATGGACGCTTGGAAGACTTGTTGCTCTCTTATCGTGAATCCGGCTCTTTCCGGACCGACTATCAGGGTGGTTTTTGGGTATTGGAGGTCCTTGCACCGCACTGAATCCGAGACTCAAGAGCGGGGGCTTGGAGTCCCAGTTTAGACGGGGACCTGGACATCCAGGACAGGAGGGTAGTTTGTTGGTTTGGCTTGTGCCTTGGGTACAAGCGGGGCATGTGTTTTCGGGATACCCAGCTGGGGGCATTGATTCGCGAATCGCCAGCGTTCCGGTATGGCTTGTCGACGGTCTAGCACCGTAGTAAGAACTAGAAGATGAAAGATGAAAAAAGGAAATCTGATTGCTTATCACTTGCTTGAAAGTAGCATAGGTGCTTATATAGAATGGTTAGTTAATGAACTAATGCACTGCTAATAAAAATCGAATATAAGGATGTACTTCTAGTAATGCTTCCTACAGATGCAATAAACCCACAAACCAGATAGCCTTGTATTTCCTTGGAGTCTTTTCTTTTCTTCTATCGGGTAAGTCTTGCTGAGTATAATTGAGTACTCAGGGTTTATTTCCTCCTGTTACAGGTAACAGGTGGATGCTAGAGCTGACTTTTGTGTGTGATTTCCTCCTAGTGGGCTCAGAGAAGATTTCCTTTATGCTGTGATCATAGTCTTTGTTTATAACTCTTACTAATTGTTTGGTATAAATAGAAGTTTATAATATGATGTCATCATTTATATATCAATGTTTTATCATGTCATGAATAGATATTTATTTCTACTGTAATTTTGATCCCATGTTTATAATTTCGCTGTTAAATTAAATTGTTCATAGCTCTGATAACATGATTACCTTCCGCTGTCATAACAATAGCTATTAAACTCTAATGTTGTATTAAAAGTGATATAAGAAATGACTAATAATGATGTAAGCTTTATTCTCCTATTTATGATCCTGATAGTAAAATATGGATTTTCGGGTTCTCTCATTGGGTGTGCCCGATGGAACTGCGTAATTTGGTGTTTCCCCTAAAGTACTTAGTGTCTAATGGAAGACAAGTACTCCTGAGAGGTATTAGATTAGACGGTTCTACCACAGGTGCGTCGCGTCACCTGCCGGGGCAGGATGAGACCTGACCGCTTGTTGAACGAAGCCAGAACACGGTCCTATCAGGATCAGCGGACATGCTATCCCTAGCATCGTCTGCCATGTCAAGGGACTCGCTTGGAGGAAAAAAGGACCCGACATTGTTGAAGGACCTCCTTGGGCTCTGGTTTTTCTTTCTTCTCCCATTTGTAATCCCTACTTTCCTTAGTCTATAAAAGAGGAAGGCATGGCACCCCATCAAAAGACAGATCGATTCAACACATCACGCACCACATCACACATAGCTGAGCAGCGTCGAGGCTCTCAGTACGCGTTCGACCTTTCCATCTGAGACTTAGGACCTGTCCCTCTCTCACCTATTTGTACCCCCTACTACGAACCTTTCAGTGCAAATAACACGAGCAGCAGCCGCGAACTGGACATAGGGACATTCTGTCCGAACCAGTATAAACCTCGTATCTTTTTAGCACACTATCGAGACCAAATACACAATAATACAAATTTACTAGTTGATCTTTACTCAAAACACCGACAATTGTATATGGGCAGGAACTCTATATGACTGGCTATACGTAAGCCAACACAAGATATCAAGGTTGGAACAGAATGAAATATTTTAGCAGTACAGTCAAGTACATTATATTGAGAGCCTAAATCCGACCAGGGGATGTAGCTCAAATGGTAGAGCGCTCGCTTTGCATGCGAGAGGCACGGGGTTCGAGCCCCCCCATCTGCAGGATTATTTTTAACATACATTTTGTTTTTGGCAACTCTCTCTTCACCGGCGGTCATCCTCGTCGTCCGGGCGGGAACACGGCACGGTACCCCCGCCATTACCAGTCCTCGGCTCCTCGCAGCAGGAGCAGCTTCCCCTTCCCTTCCCGCCGCACCATCCCTTTCGCATTTCCCTCCACCCTTCCCCTCCCCGTTTCGTTTTCCTCCGCCCGCCGTCCGTACCAATCCTCCAGTCAACCAGCGTACCCGATGGCGTCGTCGGCGTTCAAGTCCACCACGCGCCGCGACCTCCACGCCTCCTCCTCCACCACCACCACCACCACCTCCCGCTCCGACCCGCCCCCGTGCCCACGCCGTTCCCGCTCCCGCAGCGTCAGCGCCGCCCGCGGCCACGGCAGCCTCCTCCTGCAGGAGGACTACCACGCCAACACCCGAACCAACCCGCTCTTCGACCCCGCGGCATCCCCATCTCCGCCGCAGCAGCCGGCGGGGTCTGCTACTAGCGCCGGCGGCGGGGATGCGCATGCGCCCAGGCGGGACAGAGGGCGCCAGCCGCTCAAGGGTGGGGGACGCGGCGGGGGTGGCGGGAGATCGCGGTCGGTGTCCGTCGCGCCGCAGCGGAGGCACTCTGCCTCGGCGCCGTAGGCGGACGGTGCTGGCGCTGTCGGCGGGAGGAGGGCTTCGCGGGCGCGGTCGGTGGCCGACGAAGTACGCCCGTACCGCTGCTCTGAGGTCAGTCGTCTCTGCTTCACATTTCACCCGAAAACCTGTCCCCAGAAAAATTCCCCGCTTTCTACTACATGATCAACTAGTATACGCCGTGTAGATATGCAGATTAGTTGATATTCAATCTACATTCTATCTCCATCAATCTGAATCTGACTGACATCAATCTGACAGACAGATACAGAGGCAAGGGATGCGGCAAGGAAACTGCAGTAATGGAGGAGTCGGCATTCGATTTCAGAGGTATGTACGCTGCTTCTGGACCTTCGATTGGATGGTTTATGTGTACGTAACTATGTACTTTTAAGGAACTTGTATTCTCACAAAGTAAATCCCTCACAGAGCAAACAAAGGGGAATTGGTGCAAGCTGTTCATCTCAGGGGTCAACAACCGGAGTGGTATGTGAGTATAGCTTTGTGCTTTGGTCAAATCATGCATGCCATGGGGTTTACAGGCAACATGAGCATGTCACTGACTAAAAGTATGTTTGTTGCACACAGGGTTCTCGACAGATGGATGAAACAACCCGTTTAGAATCTAGCACTGTTATTTCTTCACCAGGTCATCATCTTGAGCATGTAAGAACTAGTGAATCACTCGTGTGTAGCTATTGCCCACTGCAATTCCTTGGTGTAGCTATGAACTAGGGAAAGGATTACTTTTGAACATTTATGTTTTCCAACTTTAAGGAGTGGCACTGTTATGACGGGATTGCAGTATTCCAGGCGCATGCCCATTAGTGGCTAAGGGCCCAGAAATATATTTAGTTTATTTACCTCAAATATTATTCATAGAAGTATAAATACTTGTAATCAGGGATTATTGGATTTCAAGCAAGAGTAATCAATTTACTCGGCTTCCTCTGGGAACCGGGAATTGCCCTAGCCGCCGCCCCTATTTCTCTTCCGCTAGCACGCGACCACGGCGCCCCGCCGCCGTGCCGCAGCCTTCAAGCCCCGCCCCGCCATCACTCACTCATACTACCTTCGATCCACCAGAGGCAAGGCTCAAGTTCGTATCAGGCACATATGCATTTTTCCTTTTTTTTCTTGTAATTATAATGGATATGCCGACATGATGCCCACTTGTTTCTCTGAGTTCACAACCTCTTTCAATACAATATTGCCAGGTTGAAAATGTGTTTTCTAGAAATATTTTGCTAGCCCCGTTTTCTGTTTCTAAAGGAGAGCCAAAGGGCGCCTAGCTCAAACGGTTAGGTGACCCAGAGACACTCCCCAGGTTCTGGGTTCGACTCCCCGTGGGAGCGGATTTCAGGCTGAGGTTAAAAAAATCCCCTCGCCCGTCCCCATGTGCCAAAGCGCAGTGAAAGGCCCCGGCCCGGTTCTCACAGGGTGACGGCACCTCCTGCATCAGGATGGGGGCGGGGGTTCGAGGGTTTTCTCGATCTGTGTGAGAAAATCCTTCTTCTTAACAGAAAACCCGGGGGCCGTCATAACCCCCGCAGGTCGAGTTTTTTTTGTTTCTAAAGGAGAAAAATTTGCCTTTATGTCCAGCTTTTGCTTTGAACTTGACTTTGCCGTTTTTTCTACTATATTCTGTCTAAACCTTTCATTCATATTTTATTCCACTGTTCTAAGTTGTCCCGTGAATCATGATGCTACTATTCTTCTTTGATCAACAGGCCATTTGGCAGCAGAACCATTCAACTGTCCCAGTGGATCCAGTTCTGGAAATTCCTCCTGAGTTCGATCCAGATTCTGCTGAGTTTATGTCAGACGTAAGTGATTATGCCACAGAATACCGAAAGAAAGATGTTGTCGAAATCCCTCTTGATTTTGATACAGATGCTGCTGAGCTGGACTCTGATGCGAGGAACAATGCAGCAAAACAGCACCTGGAGCAAATGGAAATTCCTCTTGAGTTTGATACAGATGCTTCCGAACTGGTTTCAGACATATGGCACCATGAAGCAAACCAGCAGCTGAGACAATTGGAAGCTCCTCTTGAGTACGATCCTGACACCTCTGAGCTGGCTCCTGACATTACAGAATATACAATAAAACTCAAACAGGTCTGTTAACTGTTGTGCCTTTAGTTAAACATAGTCATCACTCATCAATTATAACCTTTTTACTTCTTATTGCAGTCACATGAACGTGCTCGAAAGCTTCGGGCAGATTTGGCAGTTGAAGAGCAGCGGGAACAAGAACTGAGTAGAATGCTGAAGGGCATAGTAACAGCTCCAAATTTTACTGAGACCTATAAAAAACGGCCAAGAAGAAAGGCAATGTACCTGCTAATCCAGATACTAATACAATCCATTTATCATTCATGTAATTTAGAGAATTGTGTTAATAATATGCAATCTTGATCTTAACTTTGTATCTGCTTTGGGATTACAGAGTAGCATAGAAAGACTGAAAGTGTTAAGGCATTTAGCTGAAGAGGCACTGAATTATTTCGAGGAATGTGTTTCAATTTCAACAATGGATAGCACTGATTTCTCGTCACCTGAGGACCATCAACCAAATTCAGTTTTAAATGTCCAACCAAAGAGCAATAGTAGATTTTTCCACAAAGGGAGATCGAGCTTTCAAGAACCCCACACTCCAGCTGATCAACGTGGCCATCATGAGGTTAGTGAATTGATTTTTCTCTTAGCTTGGAGTTTGTAGTTCAAGTTGGCTCGTTGAGTTCCTTTTAATATGCTCTCATTTGTTGGAAATGCACAGTAGTATGACCCTATAATGAGACTAAAATTTGAATTATTCTTGGAATATATTGTTAAGTGTTTCATGATATGATCTCCAGTGTGTTAAGTGTTCTGAATGATGGGGAGCACCGCAAAAAAAATCATTATTCTATTTTGGAAGCTACATATATGTTCACTTTTTGTGGAGATACAAACGTAAAATGCAAACGACTTCTTAATTTATTTGGATGTGAAATGTGCTGCTTGTTAGTGAGGTCCCATGAGATTCAAATAGTACCTTATCTGGGGATCACCTGAAACTGCTTCCCTTGTATCAATAGATTGTGATAATATCTTCTGTCATAAATCCTCTGAAGTCGTCTAGTTACTATCATTGGTAGCTTGGGGTTTTTTTTGTCATGTCCCATGAGATCCAAGTAGTACCTTATATATCTAGGGACCACCTGAAACTGCTCTAGTTTATCTTCTGTCTGATGTATAAACTCAGAGGATATCCTCACCTTGAATTTTTCACGGAATTCCAGTACAATGGTATTTATGGTTTTTTTTCCTTCACTTCAGGAATTGGACAAGCAAACTCAGTGCTCAATTAGCATGACTGGATCTGATGTGTCCGATGGTGTTATCTTTAGTAACACAAAATGCCACATGAAATTTAGAAACAACTCCAGTGAAGATATTGATGGCTTTGACACTCCACGGAGCAGAAGTTCTTGTTTCTCTTTCACCCATGAGTCAATAAAAAATGTTGAAAACTGTGATGTTCGGCAATACCTTGGGAATTTTGGAATGGGAAACAATAAAGAGCTAAGAGAGACAAGGTCTAGTTATTTTGCTGATGACTATGTCTCCCAGAAAGTTAACCCGGACGTACTGAAGGATATGGCGACCTATCAGAATCGAATGCAATATGGAGGGTTTCTTATATGTAACATTAGAACATTCTGACAGTGAACAGAGTAAATAGTGCCCACTGGCCAATGAAGTTAAGTAATTATCATTGTAACTTGTAAAGTGATTAGCATTGTGCAATTATTTGTGTTGTGTGTGTAGTTGTCCATTTGTTTCTTTTTTCCGTCAAATGTGAATTTTTGGTCACTGATATGACCTTTTATCATGTTTCAGTAATGGTCATGACGTTCTATTTTGTTTACATGGGAATAATTGACGCCATCTAGCACTACAGAAAGAAGAGCTGTTAGATGTCACACAGATGAAGTTCATGATGTTTGAGCAGAATTTGATGTGAGAATTGTTTGATTGATGGGTTGGGGATGTAGCTCAACTGGTAGAGCGTATAAAGGTACGGGGTTCACCTCCTCACATCTCTAGTAAAATGTTTTTTCCTTTTAATTTATCTATGTCTTCCATGTGTATAAAAAAAGTTATAAAAATATTTGTTGTGCAAAAGCAATCAATATTCGGGGATGTAGCTCAACTAGTGGAGTGTTAATCTATGTATGATAAAGGTTACAGGGTTCAACTCCTCGCATCTCCATTAAAATAGTTTTTCCCAAAAATTATAAAAATATTTGTTGTGCAAAAGCAATCAATATTTTTCCCTTTTTATCTATGTCTTCCATGTGTATAAAAAATTTATAAAAAATATTTGTTGTGCAAAAGCAATCAATATTTGGGGATGTAGCTCAACTGGTAGAGCAAAGGTACGGGGTTCAATTCCTCGCATCTTGCTTTACTTCTTGTTGGACTTAGAGCTTTGTAAAATGTTTGTAACATGTATATTTGTCCCTTGTGTAAATAAAATATGAAAAAAAAAATCTCCTGGTCACAGCTGTCTCAGGCTCTTGGCTCCCGCTGGCATCATTTTGGCAACATGCCAACAGGGTGCAGGGCATGCAGCCACGCGCGCTGGTGGACGGTGGATGGATCGAATGCATGCATGTGCTGGTAGCTACGTTCGCGGATCGGATGACCCGTCGCGAGCGAGATGAAACCGTCCGCCAAATCACCCGGCGACACCTGACGCTACGTGCGAGCGCCACACCGACGATCGACGGCGACATCTGAGACGAGGCTACTCAGAGTCGTCGTCGTGCATGCAATCAGTAAGACAGGTAATGCCCAACCGGCCAAATTAAAGCGCTCTTAATTATCCAGAAAAAGCTTGTTGGAGAGGGGAATAAACCAAACCTTCCATCTCTCTCGTCTCTACTACACCCGCACCGCGCTGGCCGGCCACCTCACCGCCTCTCCAGATTAATTTCGCCCTCGCCGCCGCCTCGGCACCGTACGAACCCGATCGGGGATCCCACCAGATCGATCTTGGCCGCCGGCCGGAGCCGCTGGGTAAGCCAGAGCATCACTCCCTGCTTGGGCTCCCCGTCTCAACATGTCGCATGCTGCTGCCGAGTGATCGATAACGCTTGTTGTTGCAAGCAGGAGTAGATCGATTCGGCGGCCATGGGGGGCGCCGTGCTGGTGGCCGTCGCGGCCGCCATCGGCAACTTGCTGCAGGGCTGGGATAATGCCACCATTGCAGGTAATGATCTCTCTATCTGTAACTCGTTGCCGTCGAAGTCAAGATGTTTCGAAAATTCCAACTGATTCTCGCTCATAGCAGATTAACTGTGTTCTGACCCTGCTAGTTAACCTGACGCCTGATCTCTGCTGCAGGGGCAGTCTTGTACATAAAGAAGGAATTCAATTTACAGAGCGAACCCCTAATCGAGGGTCTCATCGTGGCTACGTCCCTCATTGGGGCAACAGCGGTCACGACGATCGCCGGGGCGGTGGCTGACTCCATTGGCAGGCGGCCCGTGCTGATCGCCTCGGCTGTCCTCTACTTTGTCAGTGGGTTGGTGATGCTCTGGGCACCAAGCGTGTATGTCTTGCTCCTAGCAAGGCTCATCGATGGACTCGGTATCGGTTTGGCTCTCACGATCGTTCCACTATACATCTCCGAGACTGCGCCGACGGATATTCGAGGATCGTTGAACACGCTTCCGCAGTTCAATGCGACCGGTGGGATGTTCCTTTCTTATTGCATGGTGTTTGGGATGTCTCTCTTTCCAAAACCTAATTGGAGGATCATGCTTGGGGTTCTATCGATCCCCTCGCTTATATACTTTGCACTGGCTGTCTTCTACCTGCCTGAGTCACCGAGGTGGCTCGTGAGCAAAGGAAGGATGGTCGAGGCTAAGAGAGTCTTGCAGAGGCTGCGGGGAAGGGAAGATGTCTCAGGTTTGTATGAATTCGCAACCTAAATGGAATTCATTGTGATTGTAGTGGCTGTACAATTTGTGTTATGATTATTACTCATTTTGGGTTAACTATTACACAGGAGAAATGGCTCTTCTGGTCGAAGGTCTGGGTGTTGGGAAAGATACACGTGTTGAAGAATACATAATTGGCCCTGATGAAGGGCTGGCTCCACATCCAGAGAAGATCAAACTATATGGACCTGAAGAAGGCCAAACCTGGGTTGCCCGACCTGTTAGTGGTCAAAGTGCACTTGGAAGTGCGTATGGTCTCCTCTCTCAACTTGGGAGCATGGCTAGTCAAGGTAAGCCCTTTGTGGATAATGTTGTCACTCTTTTCGATAGCGTACACGAGAAGATGCCCGATATAATTTCGAGCATGCGGAGCACATTGATTCCCAACTTTGGCAGCATGTTTAGTGTCATGGAGCAGCAGCAGCAGCAGCAGCGGGCTAAAGCTGACTCGGATGCCGAGAGTCAAATGGAAGGCAATGAGTACGCTTCAAATCATGGTGGAGATGACAATGAGGAAAGCCTCCAAAGCCCACTTATTTCTCGACAATCAACAAGTGTGGAAGGAATACCTCATGGTAGCATAATTGGTGGAGGATGGCAATTGGCATGGAAATGGACCGAGAGAGAAGGTGCAGACGGGCAAAAGGAAGGTGGCTTCCAACGTATTTACTTGCATGAGGAGGGCGTACAAGGCAGCAAGGGTTCTATATTGTCATTACTAGGGGGAGATGTCCCACCTGGTAGTGAGTTCGTCCAGGCTGCGGCTCTTGTGAGTCAACCAGCTCTTTACTCCAAGAAACTGTTGGAGCAGCGTGCTGCTGGTCCTACCATGGTGCATCCATCAGAGGCAGTTGCTAAAGGTCCAAAATGGGCCGACCTTTTTGAACCTGGAGTGAAGCATGCACTATTTGTTGGCATAGGAATACAGATCCTGCAACAGGTAAGAAGATTATTTTCCTCTATCCTACAAACTATATATATCCCTACATGCACCCAGTAACTAGTTTAGCGCTCCAGAAGCACTAAAAGAATTTCTTATAATGCTTTAATGAATTAATGCCTTTTCTCTTACAAATAAATAGTTATATTGAATCATCTTGCTGCCATGTGCTGCACTTTTGCTAATAACTTTCTTGTTATAGTTCCTACTTTCGGTTATACCAGCAAATGTTAGGAGCCTAGCGATTATGGAAAGCAACCTGATGGTATTTTCTTGCTATTTCCGAAGAAGGAAACAAACCAAATGATACGTTGGATGCTAATCTGGGTAGCATAGTTTTACTTATCACACTTCCGGTGCTACCGATAAATCTCTAGGTCCTAACACGAGTGAACTTAGCTTTGATATCTTGTAGTAGTCAATCTAGAAAGAACCACAGCTTGGTGTTCTCTATAAGAAACACATAAAAATTCTTTAAATAAGATATTGGTGAACTGTTTAAGTGGACGGTTCCAATCTTACTCTTACTAATCGGAGGCTCCACGTTAATCTTTACCTGACGCTGTAGAAAAATAGATAAATCCTAAAAATTCTAACAAAATTCAGAATTACCTATCCATCAATCAGTAGACTCTAATCATCATAGCCATTGGTTCTACTATGTTTTCTAAAAAAATTATGCACGTCTGTCGTTATGAAAATACAGTAAAGTAACACCCTACATATGTATTTAAATTTCCTACTTCTACCATTATTAGGTAAAATAAAACCCATAACCTTCATCAAAAGTTTCCACATATACCGTTATAAATAATTAAAATATTCTCTCAAATTTGCATATAAATTACCCACATTGTCATTATTAAAATAACCTAGGTAGCCCCTAAATGTACATTGAAATCAGCTACATCTGTTAGTATAAAAAATAATCCCAAAATACACAAATATATGATTCTAAATTACCCCATCGTTAATATTGAAAATACTAAATTAAGTAATACATGAATGATGTGTGTGTAACCATATAGAGCATGTATACATGTATGGAAGAAGCGAAGATAATGTTAAACAAATAGCTCGAAGTAAGGGTTCAATTAAACACATATCAAATACATGGATATAAGATGTGAAGTGAAAAAACTATGGATGTGAATGAAAAAGTATATAGAGTAATTGCTAACTAAAATCTATTACACCCTGATGAAGATGAATGCATACCTATATAGGCATTGTGTTAGAATGTTTAACAAAAGAGAGAGTGCGCGTAAAGTAGGAAATTTTGATTTTTTTTAGCTATAGACTTTTTTTTCATAAATTTCAAATATTTATGTCTCAGTGTGGTAGCACAGACTGATAGACTAGTTCTATTAAGATACTGGAGAATTGTTGTAAGTGGGCTATGGGACCACTCAATGTTGTTATCATAAGCATGGAAACAGTATGTTGATCTTGTCTGCCCATTCATTTACATGGATATTCCTGAATACATTTACCAAATATGGTTGTAGGTTAAAGTCTCGGCATGATGTTTCATGTTTGTTGACATAATTTTGTTTTATTTTAACTTTTTCCCCGTCAAATGTGGTATACAATGTGTTACTGTTATGGTGGGGAACGTCTACAAGAGGAGGGACAAAGCTAGTGGCTGACGCATGCGCGGGAGTTCGCCGTGCGCGGTCACCACGACGCCCGGTTGGGCAAGTCCGAGTTTCAGGGAGTCTAGTTGAGTCAAGGAGATTTGGTTAGCTAAGTTTGTTAGGAAATCAAGGGATTTGTTAGCAAGTAATCGGCGTCATGTGTAAGGACTATAAGAGTCCCAAACCAGGTTAATGAAAGGCAGCCCAGGATTGAGATTATATCTCCCTTGGGCACCTGGCGGTGCTCCTCTCGTTCTCCCTGTTCCTCGTCTCCCTGTTGTCGCCGAGATCGATCTCGATCACGGCGCCGTCTCGCCGCAAGCCCACGCGCCCTCACACACCCGTCGATCCTCCCTACTTCCTCCGCAGTAAGGCACGCTGTAACAACCTGGTATCAGACTTCATGGCGACGTCTGGGGATGCATCGGCGACGGTGACGCCATCCACCGGGGTGCCCCCCTCCGTGGTGCCTACGTCCGGTGTGTCGCTGTCGCTCGTCCACACTACACCACCCGCTCCACCGCCCACCCTCGCCTCCATCGCCGATTCGCTCGCCTCGCTCACCACCGCCTTCAACCATATGCAGCTGCAGATGACCGCCATCAATCATCAACTGGCGGATCAAAGCAGCCGCCTGACGGCCCTCGATGGCCGCCCGGCGTTTCCCCAGTTTGGCATGCCGGGTTTCGCCGGCGTTCCAAAGCTCCCCGTCACCTCGATGCCGGTGATCACGGACGTCACTCCAAGCGCGGGCGACTCCTCTGCGTCGGTGTTCCCCTCCCTGCCACTGACATCTGCAGCGCTGACCGAGTCGCAATCGGCGCCGACGCCGCCGTCCACGGGAGTTCCGCTGCATCAGCTCCAATTCCCTCGATCCCCGTCGCAAATCCCCAACCACAACTACGGATCGGTTGGGCAGACCCTGCCCCTGCCGGCCTCGGCCCACATGGCATCGTCCCAGCCATATCCCCCGCAGGCTCCGGCATGGGAGGTCGGCGGCGTTCCCAAGTACCACAAGATCTCGTTCGAGACCTACGACAGCCAGGAGGATCCGCTGGGATGGCTCAACAAGTGTGAGCAATTCTTCCGCGGTCAGCTCACCCGCGAGGTTGACAAGGTTTGGCTGGCGTCCTACCACCTTAAAGGGGTTGCCCAACAATGGTACCTCGTCCTGGAGCAAGACATCGGCCGGCTGTCCTGGCCAGACTTCCGTCGCTACGTGCAGCAGCGCTTCGGCCCCGCCATTGGCACGAACCACCTCGCCGAATTGGCGCGGCTGCCGTTCGGCTCCTCCGTGGACTCCTACATGGAGGCGTTCGAAGCCCGTGCGGCGCACGCCGGTGAACTCACCACGCTCCAGAAGGCTAAGCTGTTCACTGGTGGGCTGCCGGCATACATCCGCGTCGACGTGGAGCTCATGGAGCCGAGGGATCTCCAGCACGCCATGCGCCTGGCCCGTGCCTATGAGCGGCGCAACATCCATCTGCGACCCGCGCTCCCACCATCACGACCGGCGCGCCGTGCGGGAGGCGTTCCAGCTCTCCCGGCGCCAGAGGGCTACGGCGGCACACCCACCAAGCCGACGACCGCCGTGAACACCTTCAAGCGACTCTCGTCGGAGGAGATGGCCGAGCGCCGTAAGTTGGGCCTTTGCTATAATTGTGATGAACCATATGTTCGGGGCCACAAATGCGCCCGGTTATTCTATTTGGAAGCGCAGGACTACATCATCGAGGAGCCCGACGATGACGACGAGGGCGACAGCCCCGCCCCAGCTGACGCAACGGAGCCGTTCGACCCCGAGAAGCCCATGATTTCCTTGTCAGCGATCACGGGGATCCGCGCACCGGCGACCATGCAGCTACGCGTCCGCTGCGGCGGCCAGGACCTCGTCGCGTTGCTGGACTCGGGCTCCACTCACAACTTCATCAGTGGGGCTGCCGCGAGCCGAACCGGCCTCGCGCTCGGGGACAGCAAGGGCGCCCACGTCGTGGTCGCCAATGGTGACCGCGTCGCCTGCCGTGGCCCTGGCCCGTTGCCTGCCCATCCAGGTCTGGGGGAAGGAGTTCTACATCGACTGCTACTCCATCCCTCTCGACGTGTACGACATGGTGCTGGGCATCTCCTGGCTCAGCATGCTGGGCCCCATCCTGTGGGACTTCGAGGGCCGCCGCATGGCTTTCCACCGCCGTGGACGCCGCGTGCTGTGGACGGGGGTGGGTGCGCCTAGCGCGGTACCCTCACTGCCACGCCACCTCCATTCGCTCGTGGCCGCTAAGGAGTCAGAGGGCGACCTGCTGGAGCGGCTCCTGGTGTCCTTCGACGACGTCTTCGCACCGCCAACCGGGCTACCACCGACCTGGCCATGCGATCACCGGATCCACCTCAAGGTGGGCACGGACCCGGTCGCCATCCGACCGTACCGCTACCCGCAGCTCCAGAAGGATGAATTGGAGCGTCAATGCGAGGAGATGCTGCGCCAGGGCACGATTCGCCCCAGCACATCGCCCTTCTCGGTGCCCGTCCTCCTCGTCAAGAAGCACGACGGATCATGGCGCTTCTGTGTTGATTATCGGGCGCTCAACTCGGCCACGGTGAAAGACAAGTTCCCGATTCCTGTCGTTGAGGAGCTACTGGACGAGCTCCATGGCGCCAAATTTTTCTCCAAGCTAGATCTTCGATCGGGCTATCACCAAGTCCGCGTGCACGCCGACGACGTGGCCAAGACGGCGTTCCGCACGCACCACGGCCATTTTGAATTTTTGGTCATGCCGTTCGGCTTGTCTAACGCGCCGCCGACATTTCAGGCTCTCATGAATCTGGTGCTCAAACCGTTCCTTCGTCGCTGCGTCCTCGTCTTCTTCGACGACATACTTATCTACAGTTCGACCTGGACCGAACACTTGCTGCAGCTTCGCGCCATCCTTGACGTTCTTCGCGCACACGAGCTGCACCTGAAGAGGTCCAAGTGTACCTTTGCATCATCGACCGTCCAGTACCTCGGCCACGTCATATCACAAGAGGGGTCACCATGGACGCCACTAAGGTGGCCGCGGTGCAGTCATGGCCGCAACCGCGTTCTGCCCAGGGACTGCGCGGGTTTCTCGGACTCGCCGGTTATTATCGACGCTTCATCCGCGAGTACGGCTCCATAGCGGCGCCTCTCACTAGCCTACTGAGGAAGGACGCGTTCCAATGGTCGACAGCGACGGACACGGCGTTCGCCGCCCTGAAGAAGGCGCTCTCCGAGGTGCCCGTCCTACACCTGCCCAACTTCGACCGCGCCTTCTTCGTTGATTGCGATGCGTCAGGGTCGGGCTTCGGGGCTGTTCTACATCAAGGCGATGGCCCTGTCACGTTCTTCAGCAGGCCGTTCACGGCGCGCCACCTGAAAGTCGCGGCCTATGAGCGGGAGTTGATCGGCTTGGCGCAGGCGATGCGGCACTGGCGCCCCTACCTCTGGGGTCACGCTTTCGTCGTTCGGACGGATCACTACGCGCTCAAGTTCCTACTGGATCAACGGCTCTCGACAATCCCCCAACACCACTGGATCAGTAAGTTGATCGGCTATGATTTTTCTATGGAGTACAGGCCGGGCCGCTTCAATGTCGTCGCGGACGCTCTCTCCAGGCGCGACGGGGAGACACCCTTGCTGGCCGCGCTCCCTGCCGCCGAACCAGCGCTGGCCGCGGTGTCCACCCCCACGTTCCAGCTCTTCGAGGACTTGCGTAGCGAGCTGGCGGCCTCGCCCGAGCTCCAGACGCTCTGCACCGATGTGGAAGCCGGAGCACGCGGCGTAGACTGGGTCCTCCATGATGGGCTCCTTCTCTACAAGGGGAAGGTCTTCGTCCCCGACACCTCCCCACTGCTGGAGGTCGTGCTCCAGCTCGCGCATACTGGGGCGCACGAAGGGATCCAAAAGATGCTGCAGCGGCTTCGGATGGAGTTCTTTGTTGAGCACGATCGTCGCCTCGTCCACGACTTCATCCAGTCCTGCGCCACGTGCCAGAAGAACAAGATCGAGGCCTTGCATCCGGCGGGACTCCTGCAGCCGCTGCCGGTGCCTTCTCGCGTGTGGGTAGACATAGCCATGGACTTCGTCGAGGCACTGCCTAAAGTCCACGGCAAGAGCGTCATCCTCACCATTGTGGATCGGTTTTCGAAGTACGCGCACTTCATTCCCTTGGGTCATCCGTACACGGCATCCTCCGTCGCGCGCGCCTTCTTCCACGACATTGTTCGACTACACGGCTTCCCCGACTCCATTGTCAGTGACAGAGACCCCGTCTTCATCGGGAACGTGTGGCGCGACTTGTTCCAGCAGGCCGGCGTCAAACTTCGCATGAGCACGGCTTTCCACCCTCAGACGGATGGGCAATCGGAAGCGGTCAACAAGACGATCGCCATGTATCTGCGCTGCCTCACCGGCGACAGGCCATGGGACTGGCTGGATTGGCTTCCGTGGGCGGAGTACTGCTACAACACCGCCTACCACTCAGTGCTCCGCACGTCGCCGTTCACCGTCGTCTACGGCCGCGCGCCCCCGGAGCTCCTGCCGTATGCGCCCGGCAGGGCCCGCACGGACGCTGTGGACTCCCTCTTCTCCGACCGCGACGAGTTCATCGCCGAGGTTCGCGCTCGTCTTCTGCAGGCTCAGGAGCACGCCCGGCGCTTCTACGACGCCAAGCATCGTGCCCTGGAGTTTGCGGTCGGCGACTGGGTGCTTCTTCGCCTCCTTCGCCACACCCAGTCTGCCACGTCCGGTCGCAAGGGCAAGCTTGGGCCCAAGTTTGCTGGGCCTTTCCGGGTGCTGGAGCGCATCAATGAGGTGGCATATCGCCTGGAGCTGCCGGCCGGAGCACGAATCCATGACGTGTTCCATGTCGGTCTACTCAAGGCGTTCCGCGGCACTCCACCCGATGCACCGCCGGCCCTGCCCCCGCTTCGCCATGGTCGACCCCTGCTCCAACCAGAACGCGTGCTGCGTTCCCGTCTTAGCCGCGGTGCATGGCAAGTCCTGGTGCAGTGGGTGAACTTGCCTGCCGCTGACGCCACTTGGGAACCAGTGGACGACTTCCGCGCTGCGTACCCGACCTTCCAGCTCGAGGACGAGCTGTTTTCGGAGGACGGGAGAGATGTTATGGTGGGGAACGTCTACAAGAGGAGGGACAAAGCTAGTGGCTGACGCATGCGCGGGAGTTCGCCGTGCGCGGTCACCACGACGCCCGGTTGGGCAAGTCCGAGTTTCAGGGAGTCTAGTTGAGTCAAGGAGATTTGGTTAGCTAAGTTTGTTAGGAAATCAAGGGATTTGTTAGCAAGTAATCGCCGTCATGTGTAAGGACTATAAGAGTCCCAAACCAGGTTAATGAAAGGCAGCCCAGGATTGAGATTATATCTCCCTTGGGCACCTGGCGGTGCTCCTCTCGTTCTCCCTGTTCCTCGTCTCCCTGTTGTCGCCGAGATCGATCTCGATCACGGCGCCGTCTCGCCGCAAGCCCACGCGCCCTCACACACCCGTCGATCCTCACTACTTCCTCCGCAGTAAGGCACGCCGTAACAGTTACTATTCGATTATTAACTTTTATGTTTTTTATGCAGTTCGCTGGCATCAGCGGTGTTCTCTACTACACTCCTCAAATTCTTGAGCAAGCAGGTGTTGGTGTTCTTCTTTCTAACATTGGCCTTAGCTCATCTTTGGCATCTATTCTTATCAGCGCCTTGACAACCTTATTGATGCTTCCGAGCATTGGCATTGCCATGAGGTTCATGGATATGTCTGGAAGGAGGTTAGACATTGTGTTTGATATACTATTGCTTATTATGCGTAAATACATTTTTGGTAGAAGTAACGAGGGTAATAATTCTTTAGTCTTGTTTCTCGTTCAGGTTTCTTCTCCTTGCGACAATCCCTATCCTAATAGTTGCACTAGTTGTCTTGGTCATGGTCAACATTGTGGATGTGGGAACCACAGTGCATGCTGCACTCTCCACGATCAGCCTCATACTCTATTTCTGCTTCTTCGTCATGGGGTTTGGGCCTATTCCCAACATTCTTTGTGCAGAGATCTTCCCCACCACTGTTCGTGGAATCTGCATAGCCATCTGCGCCTTTACCTCCTGGATCGGTGACATCATTGTGACATACACTCTCCCCGTGATGCTAAACTCCATCGGGCTCGCCGGTGTCTTCGGGATATATGCTGTTTTTTGCATCCTAGCTCTTGTATTTGTATACATGAAGGTGCCAGAGACAAAAGGCATGCCCCTCGAGGTCATCATCGAGTTCTTCTCTGTTGGAGCAAAGCAAGCTAAGGAGGATTAATCGCCCGACTAGGGATCAACGTCACCGGCTGTAATTTTTTTGGTTTCCAAACTTCATCGTGGTTACTTAATCCTCTGAAGTCGTCTGAAAGTTACTTTTACCTACGAAGGAAGGGACCAGCGACGGTGTGCCTAAAGAGTTGGTTTGGCAGTACATGGTGTCATGGTTGGGCTTGGGTTTCTTTTTGTGATCTTGCCCCTACTTTGATGTCCCATGAGATCCAAGTAGTACCTTATATATCTAGGGACCACCTGAAACTGCTGCCCTTGTATAAACAGATTGTCATAATATCTTCAGGCATAAATCAGAATATCATTGGTAATTGTCATCCTTCTCTAGTTTATCTTCTGTCTGATGTTTAAACTTAGAGGATATCCTCACCTTAAATTTTTCACGGCATTTCAGTAGAATGGCATTTATGTTTTTTTTCTTCCTTCACTTCTCCCAGGAATTGGACAAACAAACTTAGTGCTCAATTAGCATAACTGGATCTGATGTGTCTGATGGTGTTATCTTTAGTAAGACAAAAGGCAACTTGAAATTTAGAAGCAACTTCAGTGAAGATCTCGATGGCTTTGACACTCCACGGAGCAGAAGTTCTTGTTTCTCTTTCACCCATGAGCCGTGATGTTCAGCGATACCTTGGGAATTTTGGAATGGGAAACAATAAAGAGCTATGAGAGACAAGGTTTGGAGTTTCCTTGTCTTTGGCTCAGGAATCTGATAAGCCACAACTTCTTACCCAAAGACAAGGGTGATTACCTGCTAAACAAAACACTTGACTGATTACCTGCACTTACAAGCATACGTGCTTTTGAGTTCTTCAGACTTTTGCAGCTGAGAAAACTGAAATTGTTTTGCATTTAGGGGACGTTTGGCTTGTTTGCTAGCTGGCCTCGCCCAGCAAGGAGAGTCTTGCTAGCAGTGGAGAGGTGATACGGCTCGCCCGAGCAAGTAAGGGAAAATCTTGTTTTCACAAACATCGATGCAGCTGGCAACCCATCCAAACTCAGAACACAGCTCGCTCTCCTTACCAGCCAACCAGGCGAGGCAAGCCTCGTCAAGAAATCCAAACTGGCCCTTAGTAGTTTTCAGCAGTTGTGGTGCGGACTTGAAGAATAAATTCTGCTTAATAATCAGCACGATATATCTGTAATGTAGATTTTAACAACTAATAACGAATGTCAGGCTCCTTTGTAGTTGCAGATTTCCGATCTTAACACAACAAGAGCAACCTAAGACATGACTCAGGAGGCAGCAGGCTCTATAAGAACCAACCGGCTTGGGAATGCTGCATCATCCTTTGTTTGGACAAGAAGTTACGCTTGTCCTGTTGTTTGATTTTTATGATTTTATGAATGCAAGATTAAGGATTATAAAATTAACTCTAGTGCAAAACTAAACAGCTCAATTGGTAGAGCATTAAAACATGTACTTCCTCCGTCCCGCAAAGAGTATCCATTTAAAAAATTTCAAACACATTAGTAGTGACGAGAAATGTCTATGTTGCCCCTAATAACTAATACTTGTTGTGATTGAAAATCGTGCTGTCTGTTTAGTTTTCTGGATCTTAAATAAATGCATGTGCATTGGAACAAAAGAAATAACATCAATTGATCATTTGATTCGCTCTATGTGCTTCTCCATATATTTTTCTTTATCGGTGTGAGTGTTTCTTTAATTAGATGATGTTTACTAGGATGTAAAATAATACTCTTTGTGGGATAAATTGTAGAGTCTAAAAAGACGCTCTTTGTGGGACGGAGGGAGTATGTTTAGAGTCACAATGTTTGATTCCTCACATCTCTAAAAACAAATACATCTTTCTAATTTTCCTTCTTCCATGACTTGAAAATTTTAAAACTATTTCAAGTGCAAAGTTAAACACAAAGTTAGGATGTAGTTCAATTGGTAGAGTATTAAAGAGACACATATTTTGAGGCATGTGACATGGGAAAATTATAAAATTATTTCTTGTGCAAAGATAATTATAAGTTGGGGACGTAGCTCAATTGATAGAGCATTAAACCATGCATGTTTAAAGGCACGGGCTTCTATTCCTCGCATCTCCAATGACTTTTTTTTGTTCAATTTCCCTTCTTCCATGGCATGAAAATTATAAAATTATTTTTCTAGTATAAAGCTAAACATAAGTTGAGGATGTAGCTTAATTAGTATATCATAGTGCTCATACAATTTTCTTAGCAGAAGGAAATTACGTCGCTTGGAAACAGATTTAGCAGATCAGGGTTTGGAAAACAGTTGAAGTTACTGATGTTTTCTGAAGTGAAACAATGAGAGAATTATTGGAAATCGAGAATGCGACACGTGTACATATTGAAGGAAATCAGAGACACGGTTTTTCTTTGTGGAGATTATTGCGATTTAACGTAAAAAATACGTAATATAATACTATTACCGAGGTTTTTGTTTGTTGTGACAGCATATCATGTTACCATTTTCTTCACTAGGGACATCTCATGTTATCGATCGACGCACTCCTCTCCCTCATATTGGATGGTTAGATTTTCATATACCATTTGAGTGGCCCATGTACTTCTAGATCTCTTCTCATTTTGCCCATTCCCATATAAAAACCACACGCAGGTTTGACTTGTACTGTCCTTATAATCTTATATTCCCATTACTTCCATCTCATTCAGCACGGTTATAGAGCTATTGGTGAGGATGTTCGTTTGGTATTCGGGCAGATGATGTTTGGACGTAACTTGCAAGCAAGCAAACATGCAAAACGGGTGAGAGATTAGATGAAAGGTTTGGAATTTCCTCGTCATGATCGGTCAGGAATCTGGCAACCTTAAACTTTTTTTACTTGGTCGACCCAAAGACAGCCAGAAAAAGTAGATGAGAAACCAGCTTAACTACTGAACCAACAAACTCTTGCCGTAACAAGCAACACATTTTTTGATTTTTTTAAGGATTTCTGCATTCCAAAATACTCAAATGAGTAAGATTCTGAGTTGTAATCTTTTTTTTTTTTGCTTTAAACTAATGAACTCTTGTTGGACAAATTAGGACATGAGGCAGCAGCTCAAGGCAACTGGGCGTTTGGCGTGCAAGTGAAAGAGGATTGAGTGATGATTGTGGCTTGGCTCTTGCAAGGCAATGCAATGCAGAAGCAGGGGAGCACTGCCCTGCCCTGCTCTGCTCTGCTCTGCTCTGTTTCGACAAGTGTCGCTGAACGCATCAAGCAGGAGAGGACTGCAGGAGACGCGTCGTAGAGGTAGACAAGAGAAACCAACGGCTTGCAATGCATTTGCAGGGAGCGCATGGCGCCGGCTGCCATCTGGACGAGCGGCGTCAAACGTGTGTTTGCCGTCTACGCAAAGAATCGCAAACGTGATTTTCGTCCTCATCTGCCCTAGGTGCATGCGGCCCCGGCTCGGAGCCAGAGGCACTCGTGTCCTCTCCTTTGCAGCATTGTAATTGAGTAATTTTTTCAAACAAACTCGGCACTACCGATTATATTAAAAAAAGCAGGAGTTGCAGACTGAAAAGATACAAAAGAAAAAAGAAGAGAAAAATAAAAAAGACTCGCCCGAGGATTGAGACATCAACGCGGGAAGCCACTCAATGCTTGATGGAGTAATTGAGTTATTGAAAAAAAAAGAGTATGCCTGCGTAGGTGATCTGCCACCTGTACACTGCTCAACAAAACTGCAGACGTAGAGGAGAGGCCGCCGCGCCGCACAGCACAGCAACGGGGTCGTTGCCAGGCGAGCAAGATTACAGGCAAACAGGTTGTCATGTAGTGCTAGCAGCAACGGAGATCTTGACCAAAACCCCACCGCTGCCTCCTCTAGTGCTCTATAAAAACCCCTACTCCGTCCATCTCGCCGGCAAATCATTTACCTGCACCGGCGACGCCACCACCATCATTCATTTCATCAGGGAGCGAGCGACGTAGGCGTACTGGTAGGAAACGCCGCCGCTCAGAGAAGAGACGACGCGCACATGGAGAGATCTCTTCGACCATCTCCGCCCCCTGTTTCCTCCCCTCCCTCCTCGTCGTCCTCCTCCATCTCCACGGAGGATACTCCAATCCCTCCTCCCCGCAGGAAGAGGGCGAGGAAGACGACTCAGGCCGAGGGCGGCGCGCCCGACAAGCCCAAGAGGCCCCGCAAGGAGGCGGCCCGCCACCACCGCCACAGCAAGGAAGATCCCAATGCCACCGCCGCATCTGCAGGGAAGAGGAGCTCCGTCTACAAGGGAGTCACCAGGTACGCGTCTCGCCGTCTGCATGCCGTCCTATCCCATCCCATCTCCTGATTTCTTCGATTGCCATCGCTGCTGCTCTCTTCGATTCCAATCGCAATTCTCCGCGGGCCCTGCATTGCTGCCACGTTTGCCAAAATTACTTCTTCTTTTTTTTCTCCCGAAAGGATATCCAAAGCAATTCAGATTTCACAAGTAGTGGGAACAGTATCTGACTGATCTCCAGCCCACGACCGCGGAGGGCATCCAATGTTTGCGCTTGCACTATCGGTCTTCCGCTTGCGATTGCTTCCGACGCGAATCTCCCCTTGCATGTGGCATTCATCGAATTCTGGATGCAAGCTGTCAATTCCTGTTTTCACTGCTCATCGTCAGGACCTTCTTCCAAGTGTTGCCATGTGCTCTACACTGCTCTCTCTGTTTTTGTTCAACCCAACTGTCACTTTCTTTCTATTCTCACCGCGTATCCTCTTCAGAAAAACACAAGAGGTCGTTTTCTGGTAGCTAGAAAGTAGGGAAAGTTAGTTCATCGGTATTACGGCCAGCCATCTTGATCTGCTCATCAGTTTGTTGAATTTCTTTTTCCCCTCTTCTCCTTGTTGTAAGGAGGAGGAGAGTGTTGTAAATGAATGCTGCTGCTGCTCACCAACATACGCGTCGCATTGCATGCGTGTAAACAGGCACAGGTGGACAGGCAGGTTCGAGGCCCATCTCTGGGACAAGCATTGCCTCACCTCCATCCAGAACAAGAAGAAAGGCAGGCAAGGTGTGTATATTGCTGCTGCTAGTATCACAAATGCATGCACACTCAACTTGGAAAGGGATGTGGGAATGATTTCAAGCATTCTTGTCATATTCTTTCTTGTCTGAAAATTGACTCCTCTCCATCCTATTTTTATTTTTCAAAAGGAAAACAAAAATTCTAATACGAGGGTTCAGCAGTGATGCCAATAGAAACCCAAACAATTAAGGTCCTTTGTTCTCTGCAAGGATCCTGATGCATCTGCCAGTAGTACAAGGCTTTTTTCAAAAGTGCACCGAATTTCTTAAGGCTGACATTCTGATCAGGCTTTGTTTATCTCCTTTCTTTCTGTTATCTTTGGTGGGGGCCCTTGCCTGGTGATCTGCATGTGACTGTGATCTACTACTGCTTGATGCTGAATTGGGTGCCCCTACTCAATAGCCTATTTGGGTAAGTCCCACAATTTTACTAAAAATATATCTAAGCTGTCTTTGTCGGATTCATGTTACTTGTCGACCGATCATGGTGTGATCTGCATCCTTGTCTTGGTATGAAAACCAACTAATCCATTTCTATGATCTGCAGGGGCTTATGATACTGAGGAGGCAGCTGCTCGTGCATATGACCTTGCAGCTCTCAAATACTGGGGTCCTGAAACAGTCCTGAATTTCCCTGTAAGTTCCTGCATGATCCTAGAAAGCAAACTGTCCCCAATCTGTCAAGAGTTTATATTGTCAGCAAGCTCCTGTTTATATTGACCAAATATCCCAGAGGCAGAGGATGAACTGAAAATGGCTTATACTGTGCTCAATTGTTTATGAACAAGGCACCACCAGCTAGCAATTAATTTAGAATGACGTCAAATCGAGAAATGAGCTCACAACCGCTGTCGGCTTGTTACAACTAGTAGGAGACAAGACCAGCCTTCATTAATGTGTGGTTGTAAGCAAGCAGGGGCAGTAACTGGCCGTTAATGTTGGTACCATGTTTAACTGTGTTAGATGAAATCAAATCGGCTAAACATGATGATTTGGTTGATGCAGGCGGAGGATTACTCGAACGAGATGTCTGAGATGGAAGGGGTGTCGCGGGAGGAGTACCTGGCCTCCCTTCGCCGCCGGATCTGCGGCTTCTCCAGAGGCGTCTCCAAGTACAGAGGCGTGGCCAGGTTACTACTACTTGCTATTCATTCCTCTTGGTTTAATCACCCACTTATTGGATTAAACTCCGTCACTTATTGGCTATTAGGTGCTACAATCATGCATGTAGAGTGTACTACTACTCTGTTTCAACTAGAACATGCAGCAGCCAGCATCAAACACACCTGCAAAACTGTGCAACTCAAGTACCAAAAAAAGGAACTGAGAATGGGGGTCCAGTCCAGAGTGCAGGCTGACTCGAAGGCAGAAACCTTCCTGCTGTAGTGTTCTTTAGTCGGCTGACAAAGTGATCAACTAGTGAATATTTATAGTTTTACTGTACGTGGTGATCGGAGGTGATCTATCACTCAATGACACAGGATTTAGACTGGTTCGGGCAACGTGCCCTACGTCCAGTGTGGGTCTATTGATGACTTTATTCCTGAGCCCAGGTGCTCGAAGTATGTAGTGGGGTTACAAACGGGAAGAAGAAAGGAGGGGTGTACGAGAGGCCCGGTCGGGTCCGACCGGAAGGGCCAAGAGCGACCGGAACTCCGCTATGAGCTAGGTGTTCAAGCGTGTGCTTGAGAGGTTTCTCAGCTATCGATCTAGTGAGCCTGAGCTTGAAGAAGTGGATATCTGGAAAATCGATCTCCTTTGTTAGAGGGAGCGCATCCCCTTTTATAGATAAAGGGGATGGCTTTACACGTGAGAGGGAGAGAGTATGGATGTTTCTAAGTCTTGTTGCCCACGTCGAGTGAGGGTAATGATGATGGTTGACACGCATAACACTGTTGATGTCGCTGTAGAATGTCAGGTGCACATGGGGGTTGCGTTGGCTTCTTCAAGAAGGGTGGACGTCGGTACCTGTGAAATGCTGTTAGTATACGAGGAGCCCCACCACGTGTACCAGGTATGGTGAATCCTGGTGCCCACTATCGATGCCCAAGGCATGTGGGGGGCCTTTTTGCCGTATGGGAGCCCCAACGGCGCCTACAATACTATAGACATAAATATCGGCTCATACAATACTGTAGACACAAATGTCGGAACCTCCCATACTGCTTGTGTCAGGTCGGTTGTGGAGCACTGTTCCCGCAGGCGTACAGGGTATAGTCCCGGTACCGTGTTTTGACTTTGTGCGCTACTTTCTCCGTTCGCCCCTGGTCCCTTCCGAATGGGAATCCCCGGTCGGATGGCTCCAGTCGGTACTGGCCGTGCCAGTCGGAGAAGAGCGGTAAGCAGGCTTCCTACGAGCCTCCGGTCGGAGACGCGGGGTCAGAGTAGAAAGCAGCGTTTTGGGCCAGGCCTTCCGATCGGGGAGTCCGCCCGGAGGTGGCCGACGCCCGAGACGAGCGCTCCGGTCGGAGAGGTGGGCCGAAGAAGTTGTCGAGCGGGCGTTCGTTCTTTTGGTGGACCCTCCGGTTGGCGACCGGTCTGCCCCCCCGGCCTGTTGTTTTGTAGACTTTTTGGGCCGGCCCATGAGCTACAAGCTGTTCTCCTGGGCCGAGCCCGGGCGTCGAAGCCGGTCCCCGAGGGACCTCGGGTTTATGAACCCGACAGGAGCCCCCGAGCCCCCGGGTGATTTGAGCTGAATCGTCTAGGGGATTTGTCTTGCTGTCGGTTGCGCGCGAGCGCACCCGCGGGTGTAGCCCCCGGGCGGTTCGGGTAGAACCGGCTGGGGGTGTTATCTTAGCGGGCGTGTTTGTATGTTTAGTTTTGAGATGTTTTGTTTAATCAAGGTGTCGTTGCGTAGCCGAGGTGTTTTTTTAGGTGCAGGGTTTGAGGGAAATCTTTCTGATCTCGGCGTCGGTGCGTGCCGTTGATCGGGTGAGAAGGTTAGTTCGGAGAAACCGCTGGCGTCGGTGCGTGGCACGGACGGTGATGGCTCGGTCATGTCAGAGCTTACTGATCTTAGGCGTCGATGCGCGCCGTGGGATCGAGCGACATAGGACCATGAACGGACCTAGGCGTCGATGCGTGCCGTGGATCGTGGGAGTTAGTTTAGTTAGTTCAGGAATCAGACGAGCCGAAGCTCGTGGACCCTGAGTGAAGCCATTACGTGAGTTTAGGAGTCGCGGTCCCAGGTCTTGTTGGAGCGCAGTGAAGCCGTCTGAAGCCGTTACGCGAGTTTAGGAGTCGCGGTCCCAGGAGCCGTAGCCAGATGTCAAAGATCTTGTCGACGCGAATTCGGGGTCGTGGTCCCAAGATTTTTTTGGAGCGCAGTGAAGCCGTCTGAAGCCGAAGCGTAGTTAGTTGGTTAAAGATCGGACGAGGCGATGCTCGCGGACCCTGGCATCAGTGCGCGCCGTGGGATCGGGCGAGTCGGAGTCGTGGATCTGGCGAGTTCGAGGTCACCGTCCTTTGGCGTTTATCTTGAGCCCCCGAGCCCTATCGGGCCTTCGTGGGGGTCGATGTGAGTATTGTGCGTTACTCCATCCTCGGTTCCTCACGACCGGAGGGGTTGAGTTTCGTCGCCTATCCTGATCGCTCGGGCTCGAAGACTAGCTCGGTGAGTTCGCTAACGGGTGTGATCGAGTGGAATCTGGGTTCGTCGTTCATGATAGGGTCGGCATAGCCCTCTTGTGACATTCCACTACTCCTTTACCTGCAACCCGACAGATGCCTAGGTCATTCCAGAGACCGACCCGGGTGGCCTAACGGCCTCCCCTTCGATGGAGATTCTGTGGGCCTGGCGAGAGGTTCAGGATCAAACGAGAAGGTTGAGATGACCCATTCTGCCAGACCGGGCGAGGGCCGCACGGTGCTCATCTACGGTTTTCTCCCCTAGCTCTGTTGGTTGCCCATATCGAATGAGGCAACCCCGCTTCATGATGCAATATGGAGCGTTCTGATGCATTTCGCTGCATGTGCGATGCTTTAGTTCCTGAGCCCCCGGGCGGTTCATGCCCTAACCGTCCGGGGGGTTCAGGCATATGGAATGAATGCGCGTATGGATGTATGAATGTTTTTAAAGAAATAGAGGGGGGGTTTTGATAGTATTTACCTCGGCGACTGGAGTGACGGGGCTCGGAGAGCTTCAGTCGGAGACGTCCGACCGGGACCCATGCTCGTCACTCGGGACGGAGTCGGCATGGCCCGCATGGGGTGTCCCTTCGCTTCCTACCTATGCCTTGGCGTTTCCCCCGAGCGACTCGATTGGCTCGGGGGTCGGTTGGTCTCCCGACGGAGATTTCATTTTTGGTCTCCCTAGGTCTAGCCTGGGGAGGCAGGAAGCCGCCCGTGTGTGGTGGCGCTTTGGTTCTCGCGCCCGTTGTGCGGTAGTGGTTGATTGTGCGGTAGTGGTGGGCCACGGCTAGGATACGTTTTGTCCTGCCTGGTGGCGTTCCGTTTGACCCGGCGTTACTCCGTCGGTCAGTGCATGTCCCATCGTTTCCCATTCGTATGGGGGTAGGCGGAGAGTTTCGTGCTCGCTTACCTTTTTCCTTTAAATAGGGGGAGGGAGAGGGTTCTCCATTGCGGTCCTTTGCCTATTCTCCAACTATTGTCCCTCTTCTTTCTTCCTTCTCACTGAGGGTGCCTGAATGCCACGGCGGTTCCTAAGTGAGAGAGATTGAGCGAGGGGGAGGACTTATAGATCCTTCTGTGAACCCGGAGCGTGATGTCGAACTAGAGGTGATGCTGGTCTGTGAGGCCTTCTTCGGGATGGAGCCGTGTGTAGATTCTCTCTGGTGGATCTTTACCGGACGAGCCTTGTCGGAGGGGAGGTTACTCATGATTGCGCCGGTGGAGAGTTCCATGCCTACAACTGCTCAAGTCAGCCAGTTCATAAAGTTTGATGAGATTTCTTTTGGCCATGGCGACCATACCTCGGGAGCAGCGCCCCTAACCAGGAGCTATCTCGGCTGCATGAGAAGGCCAGGAGCTCCATGTTCTTCTGCTGAGCATCCATAGGCGCGACGCCCTTGAGGTACCCGTTGCATTTTTCTGAAGTTTTGTAGGGGTGGGACCGAGCGGTTTTCTGGCGTTTCAAGCGAAGTCGTCGAGTGGCCGCAGTAGTGTTTGTAATAGAAAATGTAATAGTTAAGTTTTGTGGGTAAGTCCCCGTGTAAATGGTTTCTTTGTATCAATGAATACACCTGTACAACCTCTGTGATGAAAATGCCATATCTGTTTCCTTGTTTTGTCCTGACATGACCTTTGTTTTTACCCCTTTCCCTCTCGTACCCGCCTGTTTGTCCCGTAGGGTGCGATTTTGGGAGCCCGGGGCGTGGCCCGCGAGGCTCGGTTGTTCGTATCCATGGGGAAAGACAGGGTGCGTTCGGTTTGGGAGTAAGAACAAGGTTACGTATGGAAATCAAAGAAATGAAATGTGTTCCCGTTCGGGGAGAAAAAGTTGTATACCATGTGATAGTAATGAAAAAGAGAGGTGATACTCAATATTTGTATACTTATGGAGCCCCCGAGCGACCCGGGTCGAAAGTGTTCGGGCGGGGGCGCTCTTACAGGAGCATGTGTTTTAAGCGAAAGTGTTTAGACCAAATCTAAGGGAAGAAACGACGTAGCTGTTCAATGTTTCAAGTGTTGTTGAGAGCATTGCCGTTGTTGTCCTCTAGTCGGTAGGTGCCCAGTCAGATTACTTCGGTTACCGTGTACGGTCCTTCCTAGGGCGGAGAGAGCTTGTGTTTTTCCTTTGTCGATTGGGTCCTTCGGAGCACGAGATCACCGACTTCGAGTATCCTTCCTCTAATCTTCCTTTCGTGGTACCTGCGAAGGGTTTGTTGGTAGCGAGTGGAGCGGACGACGGTTGTTTCATGGGCCTCTTCGAGCAGGTCAACTGCGTCTTGTTGAGCTTCCGCGGCTCGGTCGCGGTCGAAAGCTTTTACCCTTGGTGCGCCGTGGTCGAGGTCGGAGGGCAACACGGCTTCTGCTCCGTAAGCCGGGAAAAAGGCGTGAATCCCGTGGATCGGTTTGGGGGTCATTCTTAGGCTCTAGAGGATCGCTGGGACCTCTGCAACCCATCGCCCGGCATATTTGTTGAGCCGGTCGAAGATGCGTGACTTGAGTC